ATGGGTATGTCAAGCAATGTTTCCAGCTTGCTGGCGAAACAGGAAGTCCCTGACCTTTGGGGTCGTGGCCGTCATCACTTGTCTCCGCTTCGGATGCTGGCAAGCAGCGCTTACGTGACCCCCCGGGATGCCCCGCCGTTATAGTGCGGCAGCCCGAGCTCAGGTCCTCTAACTGAGCCTCGGATCCGCCATGGGGCCGCCAACAACCCTCCCCGAGGTATCTCTGGGATCCCGGCACCGTGGTGGGACGGGCTAGTCCTCAAAGACCGTGCCTGGGGTCGGGGGGTTCACAGGACTGGGAGGCAGTGGGAGCTAAGGGTGGGCTGGTGGACCCAAGCATATCTTGCCGAAAGCAGTAAAAAATACAGATTAGCCCTCGCGTCCTTCAGACTCGCTTAGGCAGGGGTGAGGGGTGGTATATCCTTCCTGCTGGAGGTAATCAATACCGTCCACTGGCACCTCCCAGCCGAAATGGGAAGGAGCATGGTGCTTGTAGTCCGACTTGCCTGTGGACGAGGAACTGGACTGGTCACTGATGCTCTCCAGAGAGGGGATAAGGAGCCAGAACCATAAGGTTCGGTTTTTCGGAGGAAAAAGAAAAAGAAAAAAGGAAGTGGACAGATGCTCCCCAGAATGGAGATGAAGCCAGCCCCATAAGGAAACAGACACAAAAAAAAGACATGTCTAGAATTTGACATAGCAGCAACCTTCACCTCATTCACTTTCAGAGGCTAGAAAAGGAAATGCACAACTGTCGTTTTTGCTCATGAGCTATGGACATTCACATGTAGTCTGTGAGAAGTAATGCCTCGCACGCATTTTTTTTTTTTTTTTAAAAGAAATCTCTTTTAGTAGGGCCCAGTGCCCAAGGCAATATACACAAAATGCAAAGACTTCCAGATTAAGGGGCCACAAGGTCCTTCTGTGTGAAGCGGAGCCCCTCCTCTGTAGCAAAGAGGCTCTCTAAGCCAAAAAGTAAGGTAATAAAAAACTTTAAAAAAAGTGCATTTTTTTTTTCTTCAAAGAAATCTTCTTTAGTAGGGCCCAGTGCCCAAGGCAATATACACAAAATGAAAAGACTTCCAGATTCAGGGGCCGCAAGGTCTCCAATCCTTCTCTGTGAGGCGGAGCCCCTCCTCTGTAGCAAAGCAACTCTCTAAGCCAAATAGTAAGGTAATAAAAAAGTGCATTTTTTATTTTATTTTTAAGAAACCTCTTTTAGTAGGGCCCAGTGCCCAAGGCAATATACACAAAATGAAAAGACTTCCAGATTCAGGGGCCGCAAGGTCTCCAATCCTTCTCCGTGAGGCGGAACCCCTCCTCTGTAGCAAAGAGGCTCTCTAAGCCAAAAAGTAAGGTAATAAAAAAGTGCATGTAAAAAAGCTAGCAAAAAGGGCCTACAGAAAGTACAACTACACTTGCTAAAGTCTTGTGAGTAAAAAAAA